CTCCTCCAACCACTGCTGTAGTCTCTCTTCTTGTTTATTTTCTCGTTCTTCTTGTTTCTTTTCTTTTTACTCCAACAGCTGTTGTAATCTCTCTTCTTGTATCTTTTCTTTTTCCTCCAACAACTGCTGTAATCTCTCTTCTTGTTTCTTTTCTTTCTTTTTTTTTGTCCCACTCTCTTACACCAATTAACATAGATTTCTCTTCAGTCTATCTCCGGCTTATCCTGACTCAATTATCTGTCTTTATATCTCTCTATCTGCTATTATATCTCCGCTTTATTTACCGGGCTTATATACTGAAATAGAGGACACCTGGAAAAGACTAGAGTTTCCAAGAAAAGTCATGATCCTTCTAAAAACTCATGACGTGTTACAAGCGTCACGTGACTTCCGCTGTCGTAACAATATATTATCTGATAACATTCTCTTTGTTTTATCAAATTCAGAATGGCAGAATTTACGTGCACAGATTTCTCATTTTGATACGTACTTAAATACTATTGTTCATAATGAAAATTAACTGAATAAATAGATTAAACCAAAGCTTATTAATACATATGATAAACAAGTGTACCCTAATTTACAACTAATGAAGAAAGAACGATGTGAAATCAACGATCTTACTCAGACACCTTATTCTTGTAACACACTAATTTATGAGATAAATGTTGACAAGAGTGAATACATTTATTGTTCAATCTATAATTGATCAAAGAGTCATAGTTATCAATGAATCTTTCTAAGATACTATAGAGAAAGATACTTTAACCAAGAGTTATCAAATTTTATATCTTTGAAGAAAGAACAAACAAAATATGTAAAATAACTATGATAACAATAAAAAGTTCTTGACGAAATATTTCAACTGTTGTTTCTTGCGATAATTGATATTGTCTTTCACATTTTATAAATCCAACATGATTACACCGACTTACTGTCTATCCTGTATACGTGTTCAAGTAAAATATCATAAATAAAACATAAGGGACAGGTAATCAAAATTTCTGTATTTTAGAAGCTATACAAAACATTTGAAATCTAAATTGTCTGCTCCCCACTGTAGGTAAGATTATTTTTATACACATGTATAATACAGATCGAAGGAGCTCTGTAATATTCTTATACTTGTTAGTCACATGATTATTCCTTGAGAACAACAAGTACTTATTCAAAACAGACAAACAAACCAGAAATTCTATTTCAGTATCTTTCAAGTTTCTTAAGATAAAGGACAAAATATTGACAGCATAATAACCTTTGATATTTACAAAACTGAAATATGTTTAGATTAAATTAGTTTTCATACAAGTTAGTATATAATACTTGTGTTAAGTTTCTGGTCGTTTGTTAATTTCCCGTAAAAATTATTCCCGAGGAACTTCAGATACAAGTCCTTTCTTAAATAAAACTAGTTTATTCTTCCTCAGTACAACTTTGCAATACACAGAATTTCCACAGTCACTTTAACTTAAACACACGCTATAATTCACAATGATTTACAACTTTACATACGGCCTGACTCGATTATCCCGTTATCAATTTATCTGCCGGCTTATATACTAAAACAGAGGGCGTCTAGCAAACGCTGGGACGTTCGTGAGGTTCCCCGATCCTTCTATAATCTCATCACGTGTTACCAGCGTCACGTGACTTCCACTGTCGTAACACTTGTTATACTTCTGTTATTGTAAGAAAATCTACTAAATTCTCTGTAGTGATATTCTTAAGTTACACTTACTTAAGTTTTATATTAAAGAATAAAAGGTAACTAGAAGGGAGACACTTTTACCATAGCTTTTTGATCATCGATGTTTTTTACAGTAAACTGGAGTACGTATTGTCACTACAGCGTTATTCCTGCTGATGAAAAGTTAAGGAACGAGTGTCTCTGTTGTAGACAAATTCCGAGATAATAGAAGTTCCCCTGTACAGACCTG